GGGAACACCAGAGAGTGTCTCAGGGGGAAGACCCAGGATCTGGGATGCTGGTTCAATCCCCGTTGCCCACAGCCGCCCGCACCCACCCCCAGTCATACACTGCTGGGCCGGCTGACCCGGCCCCTCCTGCATTGACCCCCGTGCCCTCTCCCCGGCAGAGTTCTTCATCGACGGGCTGGGCGTGCTGCACGTGGGCTCGTGCGCCGACGTGGTGGTGGATCACGCCTCCAAGCTCAAGCTGCCCTGGCAGAAGTCGGAGAGCGAGAAGCAGTACGCCAAGTTCCGCTACCCCACCTCGGGCGACAGCAGCGTCAGCGTCAAACACAGCCTCTTCTACTTCAAAAACCGCTTCAAGTGTATGACGAGCAACTAGCCCCACCGGGCTACCGGCCCCGCCCTGCCAGCGAGCCGGACCCCAGGGAGAGCCCCATTCCCCCCCGCCCCATGGAGCTGGGGCTTTTTATCCTTGTACCAGGCCAGGGAGGTGACCCCTGCTACCCCAGCTCTCCGGTGCCTCCAGACCCAGCGCCATCCCTATGCCCTGCTGTGTCCATGGGGGGCGGAAGGCTCCCCCACTTTCCCAGCAGGCCCTAGGGGAAGCCAGAGTCACACAGTGGGATACTGGGAAATCCACAGGATGGGGGGTGAGGGCTGGCTGGGAAGAGCTTACAGCATCCCAGTGGCCAAACCCCCACCTTCCCCAGGAGATGCTGTTTTATACTACAGACCTGCCCCCATTCACTGCCAGATTTCTCCAACGCCCCCCGCAGGAGAGAACCGGCACAGCCCCCGCCCCTCCCAGCTGCCCCAGGACAAGCACCAGGGCCCCATTTTATTTTGGGCCAAGTGGTTATAGCCAGTCCACCCCCATTGCCATCCCTGGGAGATTGCCAACGTCAAGTGCCAAAGACTGCAGGGGTGGGGGGGCAGCCCCTTGAGCAAGGGGAAGGGCTGACACCCATGGCTGGGTTGGGGGCACGGCCATGGGGGGGGGGACTAGTCATTCCCAGTGTCGGCCGGTGGCTGAGATCTCTTTTGGAGCGTGGGGACTCTTTTTACCCAGAATCCAAGAGCGTGGGCACAAGGCGAAGGGCCAGCCCCACACTGCTCAGAGAAGGCCCCATGACCAGAGCGTTGGACGAGGCCGAGGGTTCTGGCTTCTAATCTAGGATACGGGGGGGCAGGAGCTGGCTGGTCGCTGTGGGAACTGGAGGCAGAACGCTGGGACCGTTTGTGTCACGCACGCGTGTGTTTAATGTGAGCGACCGAGGAGCCGGGCACTGCCAGGCTGCACTACAGGAGACCCAGGGCTGGCAGATGGCATGCTTGAGCTGCCATCCCCAGCTGCTGTTTTCTACAGGGAGAGAGAGGTGAGGTTTTAAGGGGAAAAGATGTTTTTTATTTAAAAAAAAATCCATAGGCAAGTATTCTCTGTGCCCTAAAGGTTATCCATGTCCCGCCCCCTCTGTCCCGAGTCCTACAGTCATCGTTTAGCAGAACCAGAGAAAAACTTTGTACGTTTTGGTTTGTTTTTTAAAAACGTTGGCCTCCGAACCAGTGGGGCAGTAAGTTTGCAGCCAGTGGGGGGGGACAGCCTCGAATGTTACTGCCCCATTGGTTCAGAGGCCAACGTTTTTAAAAAACAAACCAAAACGTACAAAGTTTTTCTCTGGTTCTGCTAAACGATGACTGTAGGACTCGGGACAGAGGGGGCGGGACATGGATAACCTTTAGGGCACAGAGAATACTTGCCTATGGATTTTTTTTTAAATAAAAAACATCTTTTCCCCTTAAAACCTCACCTCTCTCTCCCTGTAGAAAACAGCAGCTGGGGATGGCAGCTCAAGCATGCCATCTGCCAGCCCTGGGTCTCCTGTAGTGCAGCCTGGCAGTGCCCGGCTCCTCGGTCGCTCACATTAAACACACGCGTGCGTGACACAAACGGTCCCA